ACATCGACACATCCGGTCATAAGTACAGGCCTGGTTGCACCAGATTTCTGCCATTTTTAATGTATTGGAATGACACATCACCGGTAAAGTTCGCTGGGAATGGGGATCTTGCAATCGCCGACTCTTGTCGATGCATTAATTTTATTGTTTTTTTTTCGTTGTTGGATGTCTATGTTATCAATATCGCGGGTTTGAGGATCCTCAATTTTAACTTTATCGGACAGCTTGAATTGTGTCAGATGCTATCGCGTTATTTAACTGAGAATTTGTTGAAAACATTTTTATAAGGGATTCTGATGTATTTTAGAGTCGTACTGGTGCTCGAAATACCTCTATTTCTCCATCAAATACCACTAGCGGGTCTTCAGGTACAGCGACAACGGCAACTACGGCGTCATCTGGTAGCACTGCCACCTCTGCAACTACCACTGCTGTCGCTTCAGCTGCTGGGCCTGCTACTGCTGCCACAAGCGTACGCCTCTCCTCTGCCGAAGCAGAGGCGACTTTGCAAGAAATGGCTGCATCAGTGGCCCACCTTGGCACCCGAACAGGGCTTGAAGAATCAGAGGCTGAGAGAGGCAGTGTGACCTCTTCCTGTACTACCGGTTCCAGTGCCGGTCTCCCTCCGCTCTATGAGGAAGCCGTCCAATTGCTCTCCGAACAGCAGCAGCATCAACGGAGGTGGTCTCCTTCTGCCCCTAGTAATGATTTGTAGTTATCTTTTAAATTGCCTCGAGTGTACACGCGCACACACACGCGCGTGTCATTCCCGTCCTTGTTTCTGATTTCCTATTTTTTTCCTTTTGTGTGTAATTTTGTGCGCGCATATGCGTTTCGGAAGTCCCATCTCTTCTTTGCTTTTGACTGTGCACCTTTCTTGTCCCCGCCTTTGTGTGTGAGCGTATATATGTACATAAAGGTTATTATTCAGTGTTTGTGCATCCTACATTGAAAGAAGAAGAGGTAAGCGAGTTTTAGTCACTTTTCACTGCAGTAGACGGCGTCGGCGACTTTACTAATGGCAAGACTTATAATACCAACTTCGTGTCTGCTGCTCTAATCTGGTTCGAGACTGTTAGCAAATGGGTGCAGACAATGTAGGGGTGGGTGGTGCTGTAAATGATGCAGTAATGTGTATTTTCTTCTGTGTGAGCTAATGGGATCAACGAATCACTTATGGGAAGAATTATTCTTGTGCACGACATCGCTGACTGTTTATTTGATTATATGAATGAACAGCGTTGCATGGGCTGATCTGTGGGCCAAGTCAAGGCTCAACATTCTCACTTTCCTTCTAAATACAGATTTTACTCCGACCTAATACTTTCTTCTACCTAATCGGAAGTTTCGGGACGTTACGCTGAATGAAGTGAATCGTCGTGAACTGAATCGATCACACAAGAGTGTGGAGTTCTGCTTGTTGTTGTAGCGGCCCAAAACTTTTCACAGGTTAGAAGAAGATAGTAAGTGGAGCTGTACACAGGTATTCCATGGAGAATAATGTAATCTTGAGCATGGCTCGAAGGTCCGCCTACGCGTACAAGGGCCGGATGAATCGTGAAGTGACCGCCGGTCATTAGGTGGTCACAGTGTTACACCTTCCTACTCCTCTTGGGAGCGACGTCCTTGGGCTCTCCTTGGCACACCTCCCGCGCCAGCCATCACACCACGATCCAATCGAGTCGATCAAAAGCTACTGTGAGACTGAGGGACGGCACTTGGTCGCCTCAGCAGATCCAATTGCAGTTGGAGTCAAGGTCGGTCTGACAGCCCGAATAGAGGTCGCATACATCTGATAGCAGTCAATTACTACCATGACTAGGCGGTGGAACTCTTGATCTAAAGCACGTGTTACAGGGAAAACGAGACTATCATTTTCGGCACCTCTACACAAATTGAGTAAAGGCATTCCGACACTAAATTTTTAAAATGATTCAAATCAGTATCGCTTAATTTGTTAACGGCCCGTCTGTGGAACAAGGGAATAAGGTGAGGCCAAACGCAAACATCTTTCTATAAACGTGTACTGTGAAGAACTCAGGAATCCTATCGTCATAGTGGTGGATGCACTACCTCCACACCGTAAGTACATGTAACAAACGGTACATATAAGAATGGAATTCATTAAAAGCGTCGGGTTTGTCTTCCACTTCCATTAGTGTGGCGTCCCAAAACTTCCCACGGAGTAAAAGAAAGCAGTAAATGGAAATGAATGCATATAATACAGGGTGAATGAAGGGACTAGGCCCGAGCCGAACTCGAAGTCCAACTTGCTCATACAAGGGCTAGAAGAATCCTAAGGCATCAGTCGGACATCAATAGGTCACAAAAACAAAGCATTGCAGTTAAGTAGGATAAACAGAACTGCATGTGCCTTCAAGTCATCTTCATAATAGTATTCCTCCGCGTTAGATAAGACCTTAACTGCTAACAACTTTGACAATTTTTTGGAACGGTCAGAGGATCTAAAGGTATAAACTTTATCTACAAACAAATTAAAAGATGTAACATAAGTACTTCAACTATCTATATTAATGCTTTTAAAAAAATATTTTAGTCTAACTTTTGCACATGATTGTAAACTAAAATAAATAACATGATGATTTGTCTTTCTTATACGCACTTTGTTTTAATAACTAAACTATGTAATTTAATCTAACCTTTGCTGCAGTCGCATTACAATAATCCTGCTTTACAATGATTGCGCTGAAGTGCGTATTCATTTTGGCATGCTGGAGCATTGTTTTATGCTGTGCATCTCAAGATATCTTAAGATGGAATATTTTGGCTGATGAAACTAATGAAATTTTGGCATTTTTCGAACCAAATAAGTCCACTGTACTTGTGTATCCGCTGCTCAGATTAACACTTCAACAAGGTAAGATAAGCGTTAAATCTGAACAACAGTGTAACACTTTTAAAACTCTAAGGAGTTTGAATAAGTACAGTGCTTTAAACGTTTCATATACACAATGGCTTGTTTCTTTCTAGACCTTTCCATATGTGGATTTCGGGTTGAACCTCCATCTTTGGCTCTAAGGCTAAATCCCTTAAACAATACATCAAATGTATATGAAATCACTCTTAATGCAAACGGTACTGAACAACTTGATGGGATGGTCTTCCAAATACAGGCAGAGACTTGTCAAGAACCTCCGTTACTTTCACCCAAAAGGCCTCTTCATATATATGTTGGTTCATGGATTAACTAATGCAGTTCCTCAAGTTTATGCGTTTTGATTCTTGGTTTGCAGGTTCACGGATCATTTATTTTCTCTGTGCTTCTTGCGGAAGCGTACTCATAATAATTTTTGAGTTAGAATAAAAGAGCATACCCTCTGGCTCTTAATTTTGCATTTCTGTTTTGTAGGTCACTAAATCCGATCAACCAAAATGGACTAAACCCGTATTTCGTATAAAGGCGCCAACCCATATAACATCTTTTACCACTTTGGCTAATCTTTCCAAGTTTGCAATTGCGCCCACAAATCTTTCAATCTCAAACTTTACCATAGACGATGGTGCAAGTTATCCCTTCTCAATTGACAAATCAGGTAAAATTTTGCATCGGTCTCCTGTGAATTATTTATGCTTTTTTTGCACCACGAACATAATTTTTTAAGTTACAATATTGTTTACACCGTTGTGTTGTTTTCCTTTTAATTTTTGCCAATGATTGTGATCTACCTTGTATTTACCATCATGAATAATTGTTTTACGCGACTCTTCTTTAGAAAAATATAGCAAGGCATCACTAACGAATCAAAGTTTTGTAGTTCACTTTCTATGATTTGTTTATTTTACTTAGATTGATTTTCATTAGGTTCATAAACCTAACATAACCATAACTGATTTAAACATAAGCGTTCATTTCTTTAGGAGACAAAAGACAAACACTCCTCCCTTCATTGTCCGGTTTAGAGTAAAGAACCCGCATCATTTTTTTGCAGGCGTCTTGCGAATACGTGAAAAGAGCATTGATGCAGAGTCAAAGACGATGAGTACAGTGCGAGTGAGAGCTCTGTCTAATCACGAACCACCACTAGCCTCCGTTCCAGCTCTAATCATTATATTTCACTGCTCAGCACAATGGACTGGTAGGTTAAACCGAATTGCGAAGCAACTCTTTTTTTAATGCAACTGTTTTAGTGAACGGTTCATCCTCTTTTTCTGTTTTGTTGCTTTCCTCTTGGCTAGGCAATGTAATTCTCTAATTGATGCCAATGAGGACGAGGAACAATGTAGAGCATTCTTTTGATTTAATAACTTACATCCTGACAAATGTCTTTTGTTAAGCACAACGAAAACAGCATAAAATGATTAATAGAAAAGAGAAAGAGGGTGGGAAGGAAAACGCCATCTGGCCTCCATGGTATTAACTAACTAAAAATAAGATTCTTTTACATCCCTCCGGTTTGCGCCTCCCCTCCCATGCAGCTTTAAACTTTAAAACAGACACTAATTCCCCTAAACTTCTGCGCGTCCGTTTGTCAATGTGTCCTAGGAAATTAATTTCTATGTTTAGGCGATACTACTGAAATCCTTGTTACAATAAACCCCGTAAAATCCCGTACACTAATTATCTAAGACCAGGAAACCTTTACTCCTTTGATAGCAAAAGGACAATTATTAGTTACAAACCATAAAAAGGACCGTTTTTTAGCAAAACTTTCTCGAGTTTGTTAGCCCAAATTTGCTCCAGAAACGCGTATAACATGGTCACACGATTTGGAGGCGTTTCTTTGCTCAAAAAAAAACTTATTGATGATGCAGAATCCGTCATACCATCCAAATATTAATGAATCAACCTTAGCCATTTTATCATGTACACCGAGGTGGTGGCGCCCTCGTCCCTCTTCTGGGAAGGCTTCGCAGAGTATTTTTCCAATCACGCTCATGGGAGCCCATAAAAGGCCAATTACGGCAGCCTAATCGCGACCGCCTTTTTTATGATGCCTGTGATACGGATAGTAGATCTGATAGCGTGCGCTTCGCACTTCGGGATGGCGTTCGCCTTCTAACCCCCTGGATCCATAAATCTTCGCCTCTTCTACTATCTGTCGCCGTTCTGTTCCCCATTACCTCGACTATTGAGAAGTCAGTCCGGTGACTGTGGGAACAAGGTTTACATTAGACTGAGTTACTTTGCTACGAAAATTTCGTGTAGCATGTAAATGATGGCAGTCTGTTGCAGCTGCTCTGTTGATCACGAGCCCCGTCAAACGATTGTATGTTGCCTTCCACCTCGTAGGTATTTCACCAATCCTTGAGCACAAAGGCGAAGACCTCAGACCACTGGCAAGTGCAGTCCTCGAAGACTGCTCTGAAGATGCAGATCTACAAAATTCAACGGTCTTACAAGTTCTTCCCAGTCTTGGGTGCACAGTGACTCGTGCAGAAGCGGTGGTCGAGTTGCTCTACAACAGACCGGCGGCTTTGGAGGGAAATACTCTGCCTTGTCCTCTGGACCACTACCGCCTTCACAAATGCGGTAGACATTTTTCCTCCTTTATTTTTCCACTAAAAAAGACAGGAAAATTGCTGTCTGTTAGCCTTGAAAACCAAAAGGGATAACAAATGACCATTTTACCATCGTCCAGGGGTCTAACAGGGTTTAGTCAGGGTAAAAAGGTGAAAACTTTTGTTTTTTTTTTCGTTCCTTCACATAAACAATTTTAAAGGGAAATTATGAACGTCTCTACTTTCGTGAATCCA